GCTGTGTGTAAGAGGTTTCCTCATTGGCCTCCTGGTTTCCACTGTCTCTCCACTCATTTCTGTTCTACACAGCTGCCAGAATGATTTTCCTAAAGCACAGCTTTCACTGTGTCACTCCCCTGTTCAGAAATCATCTGTGGCTCCCCTTTTGCCCCAAAGACAAAATATAAGCTCCTCAGCCTTCCCAGCAGGGCTCCAGCTGACCTTCTGGGGTTTATTACATTCCACTTTACACATTCTACCTTCCAACCAAACCAGCCTGCTTGCTTTTCCATGAGCACAATTTTCCCCTTCCTCCTTAGCCTTTGCAACAGGCTAGAGCCCATGTCTGAAATTAATTCTCTCCTTACCTTTCCCTTTCTCAAATCTTGCTCCTTTCAAAGCTCAGCTCATATGCCACCTCCACCTCTGCCCTCCCTCAGCTGCTACCCACCCACCCCACCCCCAACTACTTTATGTTTACTGTGTACATATTGCTTCCCAGATAGAAAGGAAGCCCTTTTAGGGATAGGGATTATTTTGTTCTTGTCTTTTGTATCCTCAGTGCCTGGTACAAAGTAGGTGTTTAATAAATGCTTGTAGATTGATTGGTTGGATGTCTTAAGGTAGGAATTTAAAGATAGTCCCCCCTGGTCAAGACCCTTTAGGGAGGCACTGCCCTTCCTAGTGCTTGCAGCGAGGTTTCACTGAGCAGCACTGTGTATGGGAATTTCTGTTCATGTGCGTGTGTGTTCATTTTGCCCTTGTCTCTGTCCTGGTGTTCCCTGTGTCTGGGCAACTGAAGCAGCATATTCAGAAAAGGAATAGGATAGGCTGGGAAAACAGCATGCGTGCCACTTTTGGATCCTTTACCAATCCAGTCACTTAGTCAATCACTTGATATCAGGACAAAACCTTTAAAACTTTAAAGTTACCGGGTAGGCCTTCTCCCTACCCGGAATTGGAATTGGAGCAGGTAGCTGCCAAACAGAAACCAGAAAAGATGCCTATTCCCCTTTCCATCTGGGTTATTTCCCTAGTTGTATCTCTTCTCCTAGGATGTCATTAAGGTGGACAACGGACTGTGATTAAACTAAACTAAGGGAAGTGAGCTAGGAACACACTACAGCCTGGGAGGAGGACAATCTTGTCTTTGTTAGAGAATAGTTTTGGGCAGGGATTATGGCCATGAGAGTTAGACGTAGGTATCCCTTACCTCGGGGCTTGTGGCTGTCACATAAGGTGCCAGTGGGGATTTCAACAAGGCACTGGGTTACCCCTCTTCATCTGATGTGCTCTCTCATCATTCCTCTGCCACAGAGCCCAGCACAGGCACGAGCATACATTAGGAGCTGCCAAGGTCTGGCCTCTTACATCTTTCCTTCCTCATCTCCCGTATCAGTCTCCCTGCACTTAAGAGAAGGGCCCATAATCAGGTTGGGCGCATTATCAACAGAATCCGTAAGAGTGCTTGATTCTTTCCTTGCTGTGGTTACACTGACACCCCCAGGGAAAGACCTGCTTTCCTGATAGCCACCTGATCCTACTTGGTCTGTGGGTCCTCAGCTCGGCCCAAATCTTTTGCTAGGAACGGTGATTCCAAGCTTCAGGCCTTAGTAACCGCTGAGCTATACCCCTGAACTTGCTTTTCTGCTGTATGTGCCATATTGTCTTTCATCTGCTCCACTTCCCCTGTGCCAGGTGATGTGCCGCTGCTGTGCAAGCTGGTGCTGGGGCCATCGTCGTCTGAGGGTGGACTGTATGAGGGCACCAAGTGAGTTTAGAAGCAAAGCAGGTAACCCTAAGTCTGGCCCCAACATAACCACTGTCAGGGAGCTGAGAATACTTGCTTTCCAGGGCCAGCAATACAGGAACAGGAAAATACCCATAGTAATGCATCTTTTAGACAATCACCTGGAGCAACAGTGGAGCAGGGATCACATATGGGCCATGGAAAAGACAAGCCCAAGGCATCTACAGCCAGGAGGAAGAGACAGAATACAGCATTAGGTGGAATTAATGTCAGGATGGCATCACATCACTAGTTACAAGTAAATCTGGAATTCCCATCCTACCCCAGCTCTAATTCCAAGCATTACCCATGTAAAGACTGCTAACCTCTCCCTCCTTTCTTCCTTGTGGGCACTATTCAGAGAGTGTTTGTCATTAGAATGGAGGGAGAAAAAGGAAAGAAGGGACTTCTGCTTCCTCTTGACCCACACACTCCTTTTCTGCTTCCTCCCTCCATTGTAGAGGAGACATGGCATTGAGACTGAGCCCTCTCAGGGCACTAGGAAAACAGCACTACCTGTTTCCATAGAGGAAGCTTCTTCACTAGATATTCAGGATCTCTGCCCATTGTCCACTGCATCAGCTACAAGGAACCTCAGCATATTCCCTCTGCTGCCCCAAATTCCTTAGCTTAGAAGTCAGGAGCAAACTCCAGGAGGAACTTGAAGGTATGAGTTTTCTTCTTCTCAGTTACCGCAGGACTTATCATCAGTGCCTGGGAGATGCCTGTATGACAGCCAGTGAAAGTGCCCTTCATAGACCCATGGTTTGGCAGAATAAATTACATGTCTGTTTGGTCTGAAGAGAGTGGTAACATTAGGGTTCTCAAGCAGAAACTCACTTCCTTGTCCTGGGTTTCCATTTTAACCCATACCATTCCTTTCCCTGTCTTTGCAGGTAGTGACTTAGGGTCTCTGTAGATAGAACAGTGGGGGCAAATTGGGTATAAATTGGGCATAAGAGTAAGAGCAATTTAAAAAATATACCCTGCCTTCCACATGCTCTCCTGAAGCCCAGGGCACTTCCAGGGCATCAGCATCAACCAAAATTTCCCTTATGTCCCTTCCCTTATGTCCCATCATGCTCTGTTTTAATTATAATTGACTGCCGAGAAGCTAAAACATAATTGGAATTTGGTTGCCACGGAATTTGACTGGACAATGATGAGACGACTCTTGGCCCACAGACCTGGTCTTTCTCTTTCATGTTCCCTGCCACCAGTAGTTTAGCTCTTAATTGTGGTCTGGCTCACTATCTATTCACCATCTGTCCTTAGTTTTCATGGGAGGTGTCTGGCTACCTTTAAGCTAAAAATTGTAATAAAGGTTTGGGTATCTTGAGGTTTGTAAAATATCTGACTAAGATTTCTGTAGGTACAAGGCAGATTAAATTTTCAGCCTTCCCACTTGCCTCTGGTAGATGGATGTGGCATTCAACGTTTTAAGCCTGCCTTCCTCTCTAGCCACTGGCTGAACTGCTTCCACCTTTGTAATACTCCATTTCAAAATATATTACATATATAGATCATATAAGTCCACAAAACACAGATTATCAGACTGGACCAAACTGAGGGAGACCAGAGAGGAGAAAAATAGATGGTAGCAAACAGGCCTTAGTCTCCCTTTAAGTAGTCTGCATTTACTACTCTGATTTTTGTTACAGTAGTTCCCTGATAAAGCCGCTCACAGTTGAATGACTGTGACTGAAGTTGAAGAGGGAGAGGAAAGAGGGCAGATCTGCTTTCCTTGAGGACAAACAGTATGTCAAATGGTAGTGGTTGGGATAGAAGTGGTAGCTTTCAGGCTAGCCTCATATAGAGCAAGTGGAATGATCCTTTTGAGGCTACCAATGACAGCCCTAGTGTGAAGGGTGGAGTCATCCAACACAGAGGAATCAGGGCTATGGGGTGAGACCATGTATGGCGATCATTACATGGTGACCAACCTCAAGCCAGCCTCTGGCTAGAATCATAGGTAAAGGGTTGCCTTATGAATCAGGCAGTCTATTTCTGGGAATGAAGGGGGAGGGAGAGGCTCTGCTTGAAGTTCAGGCAAGCAGTCGTACACAAGAAGGGAGCAGTCAAGTTGTTTAGTGTTTGTAGAAAGGAGGGCATGTTAAACTGTCCATACGTGAGTAGTTGAAAGGCTCATTTGTCCATATTTTATTCTCATAAATTGTCTGTGCAAGATGAGGCTGAGGTGTTGATGGCTCAGTCCAGGAGGATGAAATAGATTGTTGGAATTCAGCTTTAGCATGGCCACGTTATGTGGACACATGTTATTGGGAGGTGATTCATTTCACTGCACCAGAAGTAAGGAAACTTGTATTCTGAAAAAATGCTCCAAAGCCCCTCCTTGCATTCTCCTTCTATGCAGGATTCAGCTTTCAGAGGAGTGATTCTCCAATCTTTACTTCTGTTCTGAACCCCTGGCCATATAGCAGCACGTCTCAAACTTTTTGGTCTCAGAATCCCTTTACAATCACTCTTAAAAATTACTAAGGACACCCCCCCCCAAAAGCTGTTTTTCGTATGGATTAAGTGTATCATTATTTACCTTATTAAAAATTAAAATATCTTAGTTTCATCGCCTGTGTGTTTCCCCCAACCCCACCTTCTGAAAGTATCTTAAGGCGCCCCCACACTTTGAAAAATGCTGCCTTAGCAGAGCAGGGTCCCAACCCACAGTTTAAGAAATGCTGAAGGGGTCTCAAGTGGAAAAAGTTTAAGAAGCCCTGCCTTACAGCACTGTCAGCAAAGAGGGCCAGAAGATTGTAAGAGGTTCAATAATAAAATAACTTTTTCCAGTTGCTGTTCCTTTCAGTGTAACCCAGAACTCTTTTAACAGGGAAAAAAAAAAAGATAAAAATGGAACAGAGACAAAAGAGGAAAGACAAGAGTTGCTGGATTAATTTACTAGTGTGAATGAGGATCAGCTTAATTAATGCTTGTTCAGAGTTAAAAATCATCCTTTTCTAGTTATAATAATCGAATTGCAATTTGTTATTTGTCTCTCCCTTTGAAGGGTGCAAGAGTACCCAACTTAATGACAGGGCATTAGCCATTTTGTGTGTATGTGGAAACTCACATTCATTAACAATCACCAATTTAGAAAGTGGTAAGCAGGCAAGGCCAGGGCTTTGTTGTTTCTGCTACATCCTCCAAGACATATTCATTAAAACTTAGATTGCATTTTTTTCTTATCCTTTCTGTCTCTTCTCTTCTCCCTCAGTGTATGTGGTGGAAGACCAAAGACGGGATGACACAGGCCAAGCTACCTGCCTCACAGCTTGCTGGACTGCTCTCTGCTGCTGTTGCCTTTGGGACATGTTAACTTGAACAGCCTTGACCTCCTTCCCAGAAGGCTTTGTATCCTCAATCGATGGAGTTCTGAGTCCTGATCTCTTTCTACTGCTATAATGAATGACAAGTTCTGCAACGATATCTCAACTGCAGCATAATGGAATCCTAGATTAGTAGTGATTTTTTGCTGTTCAATTTAATTTAGTGACATGATCTTTCTAATGTTCATTTTCTAATTTTTTGTCGTACTTTAACAAATGTGCTAAATGATTTTTTGGCCAAAGGCTTGAATATGAAATTTATATCTATCATTTTAAATTGTACTGTTCATGGCAGTGGCAAAATATGCAACAATACAAGCCACTGAATGATTTCTTTCCTAACTCTTAATGTTTCAATACTTCCTTGTCAATAAATTTTTCAAAAGTCCCAGTGTTTGTATAGATGCAATTCTAGATAAGATCAGAAATCAGAGCCTTGGTGTATCTTTTCATTAGTACGAGTTTCTCTGTGTTTATAAGCAGTGTTTGTGGATAATATTGTAGGCACACACTGAGGCCAAGTAGTGTATGTGCTTAGACTCCAAAACCACTTCTGTCCATGTTTCATCATTTAAAAACTAGGACAAAACTTTAAAAAATTTTCATCAGTAGCCTGCTTCCAGCCTAATGACTGAGTTTGTGGCTGCCATCTAGAAGCTAGGACAGATACCTCACCTTTCTATGTTGGTTATGTCACTGGCACCAAACTGGGTGGTAGGCTAGGATGAAGCCAAGGAAAGTATTCCTGCAACCACATCAGTGCCTAAGACCAGCAGCGGAGCTCCTCAGGCAAGTTAATTGATCCGTTCTCATCCCCCTGCCCCTGCAGGTCCAGCTAGTATGCTTTCTGCTCAGCCACCTCATAGCACCAGGCATATTATATGTCAGAGTGCAAAGAGCACTAGTCTAGGGAAGTCAGGAAAAACCTAGATTCTAGTCCTCACCCTATCGCTAACCATACTGGGTGACCAGGCAAATCACATAACATCTATTTCCTCATCTGTAAAAAAGGTATCTGTCTACCTACCTAACAGAGTCAAATGAAGTAGGGAATATAAACTGCTTTGCAGATTGCTACTCAAATATTGTGTTAGAAAAACAATAGAGACTGTTCCAGCCACAATCACTGTGTTTATTCCTTTCTTTCTTTACCTCTGACACTAACCTCTGTTTCTCTCTCAAGCCTGCTCAGAGCCCCTGCTGCCCTGATAAACTGTATTTTCTTTCTTGAACCCCTGGAGTTTACTGTCTCACACGCTGCTTCAGAGGCGACACTGGCCCTTACTGTACCTTAAGTAACTGAGTATGTGGCTAAGTGGTGTTTGCTTTTCATTCTCACAGTGGAAGCCTCCAGAGAGAAAACAAGGTCCCTGCTCTAACACTATCTTACAAAACATCTGTCCTCCAAGTGGTAATTTGATCCCTAAGTAATATTACCGAGTTATAATATATATCCCAGCTCTGGCCACCAAGTGGCACCAAACCACCACTCATGAGGCAAAGCAGCAAGGAACCAACTCAGACTAGTGAGTCAATCTGAAATTTCTCCTGTCTTCCCTGCTGCAGATGCTTTATTTGATCATACCTGGAGGCAGCCCCTCTGGTAGAAATGTTACCAGCAAATCCCTACAGAGGTAGGGTAGGGAATACAGAGAAGACGACCTGCAAAGATGACCTTTTCTTTATTCAGAAGAGGGAGGGAAAAATCACACCTTCACTGCCTCCAACAAATTCCAAATACTTAGGATTGCCCAACGTTGACAAGGACATTACAATGTCAAGAGGTTCACTGTGTAAAGGAGATAACTATGAACCCCAGCCTTTCCTGGGACAGAACCAATAGCCTCCCTATTCTTATTTTATTGGAGTCCTAGCCTCAGGTCTTGCTGTCTAGAACACCAAGTCTGGACAGCAAAATCCTTTCCTATTTGATGCTGGTAGGCTCCAGCTCCAGCACAGGCCCCCCACTGGAAAATCTATCACAACCTTATTTTCATCCCCTATAGCCACAAAAGTTCAAAATCTGAAGAATGAAGTCACTTCCCTGCTTATTAACCTGGATAAGTGGACCCCTAACTCTCTTCCCTTTCAAGTGCCATATTTAGAAGCAGGGTAGGGCAGTTTCTCAGGAGCTAAGAGGCTTACTCAAGGTAACCAAAAAGAAATAATGGGATTATAGGTAGAGGTAAAGGAGGATCACGGGAGGATACAAAGATCTCACTCTCTTGGGAGGATCAAAACAATGTTAAAGCTGAAGGAAACTTCAGCGTCAACTTTCTCATTTTACAGATGTGGAAACTGAGGCCTAGAAAAAATAAGGACGAGAAGAGGGCATGAGAGAAGGAAACCTTGGGACAAAAGCTGAGGAAGCAATAACATTCAATAGAAGAAATTAGGACAGCAAGAAATCTTGATTATTGAAGAATTATAGATTATGGAAGAATGTCTTTCCCTCCCATCCCCTGAGTAGCAAACCCCTTTAGTCATAGGAAAAGCAGCCTTGGAAGAAGGGGATGAATACCTTTTATTTGTTTAACAAAACTGGTAACATTGGAGTCATTGGGCAGGGGCTACCTCCTTTGCCCAGGGCTCTCCTCCTCCTCTCACCCTCAGCAGGTCATAATCAAGCCCCAGGCCAAGGATATGCAGTTGGCTCAGCCAGAGGTGCAGGAGGCCACCACAGTGAAGGCAGCAGCCTAACAATGGTCCAAATAAAAGCAAGACTTTCCAAAACGTCCTCCAGGTTAAAGCACACCAGAGTCTGCTGCTCTGCCCTACCAACAGGAACAGAGGAAGGGGGTCGAATAAAGGTTTTCTTATGGTACATTTTACTGTGCCCTTCTGGCCATCAGCATTTCCCGAATGTTGTCCTCTGCATCCTTCACACTGCGCTCGAGGTATGATTTTCTCTGCTGTAAAGTGGGGGAAAAAAATACCATTAGAATCAGGGTGTTGGCAACCCTTGATGGACAGTGAGGTCACATTTGTCCCTCAGGCCTCCAAGGATGTCCAGCTACTTACCTGCCTCCAGTAAAGCACTGGGAGCTTTGGTGGGGCCAGCTGCCTCCATTCCCCAAAACCTTCTTTTCTCAATGCCCAACATGCCATGCCTGAAGGCACTGACTCAGGTGGGCCTGAATAATAATAGGAACTGCTTTTCTCAAAAGCCAGTTTGCCCATCATGTAGAAGACGACTTGGAAGAAGTTTAAGAAGTCAGAATAATTTTAAGTGCCTAACCAAAAATACAGCAGAAGAAGGCTGGGAAGAAGCCTGATTGACCAGCAATGAGGGGTTACTTGGCACAGGGAATATAATGTGCAGATTCGGAGACTGGCAGCACAACTCTTCCCCCAGAAGGAAGTTAACACTAAAAACAAGTGTCTCGAAACACCGAGGCTGCAGCAGACAGACAAAGGCCAGGAAATTCCAGGACAAAGCTCCTGCCCCACAGCAGACTGTCTCCTCTCAAGGTTTTCCATGGCCTGGGCCAAGTGCCTGATGAATGCAATAGCATCAGCAGCACTAAAAGCCGTGCTGGGCAAGACCAGCTGGTCTCAGAACACCAGAGTTATATCACACCTCACTACCCAAACTTATCGTTTAAAGCTGAAATCTACTATTTTAATTAAATTACCACAAGCCAGAAATCTAGAGCAAAGACCAACGGACAATTGTGAGTTTAAAGGAACCTTCAGAAATTTACTTCTCTTTGGGTCCTCTGGCTAGAGAGCACTTTCTCCCAGTTTTTCCTTCAGAAGCCACATAAAAGAGAGATAACTAAGAAGGTCTGCTACCTATGGACATTCCAGATGTCTCCATCCCCTTCTCTGACCCACAGATCCTAGATAACAGCAGAAAGAAAAACTACTTAACTCTCATCACTTCCCAGGGTTCAAACTTTTTTTAGAATCCAGTCCCAACTATGCCACCATCCTCGAGATTCAGATCTCTGGAGATATTTAAAAAAGAGTCCTCTCACCAACCCTGTGATGAACAGGGAAATCCATACTGCTACTGAGAAAGCAGAGAGGCACAAGAAACCTCCTCCCCCAACCATTCCCTCTTTAGAATATTTTCCCACTGTCTTTGTCTAAAGTCTGTTGTGACTTGATTAGAACACCTTACCAGGCCTAAAGATCAAAAAGACAATGCCCTGTAGTGAAATCTTGCTTCATTCTTATTAAAGGCCTTTCTAGTTTGTAACAGAAGAGGCCTTGATCAGCCCTGGATGGAATCCTCCCTGAAATTGATTAAGGTAATGGCTAAACTATAAAAGCAGTACCCCTTTCCCCACCCTAGACTGGGCTGAATAGTTTTGGGGAAATGATTCTTCATGGTATACTTAAGGTTACAATTGTACTTACTATATGATGAATCAAAAACTCCGCCCTTGTTAAATCCTCACTATATAATTTTGTCTTTGTTCTTGAACCTACAAACTCTCAGTGAAATGGCTTGGGTCAGAGATTTTTCATAAGCAAGACAGAACTTGTCCCTTTGTATTTCTCTATAAATATGCTCAGGATTTAATTAATAAATATGTCTCTAAGAGACTCACTGGCCAAGATGCAAAAGTACTGAGTTTTGGGTTTTTGTTGTTGTTTTTATTTTTTTCACAGAAGGTGAGAACTAGCTCAGGGACACGGATAGAACCAATAGTGTAGAGCCAAGGTTTCCTGTAACTCTGGTAGACAATAAATATTTATTAGTGCCTATCATGTGCCAGGCATTATGCTATGAGTAGATCATGATGTCTCCAAGGAGGGGAGGATACATAAACCTCTCTCCACAACACCCACTAAATTAATGGTACACTCTATAACCAAATTCCTGGGAATTCAGGAATGCAAAATAAAATCTGTCAGTTACTTAACTATTTGGCATGAAGCACAGGCACTAATTGGGGCAAAGGGAAATAACTCCTAAAAAAAATTTACCTTGTCAGGAATACTTTACCTTCTTTCCCTTAATCAAGTTCTTTCCCTACTTCACTTCTCTCCATGTCCACCTCATATCTTTCTATCCTACCACTCATTAACCAAGCATTTAGGCATTTACCCATAGGGTTGAGTATTGTAATGGCTATATGTACTCATGTAAATTCTGTACCTTTTGTCCTGTGTTCCAGTGTCTTGTCTATCAAATTCCTTTATCTTTAATGCATCTCCTTTTTGTGTACCCCAACAAGACCTTGAACAAAGGGCTTAATAAATATTGTACAGTGATCGTGAAGATCATGTAGGGACTGAAAATGTATTACTGTCACTAAGGATTTTCATTTAATTACATGACTAAACATGATACAGACATATCAGTGCCATTTCACAGTGGGAATTTAAACTTCCTCTGTTAGCTAAGGAAAGATAAACAACCCTTAGACTCTGCTTTTG